TCTATTTTTACTTTTTTCTTCTTTATTTTTTTTTTTTTAATTTTTAGTTTTTATTGCTTTAAATATATATATAAATATATATATATATATATAAATATATATATATATATATATATATATAAATATATATATATATATATATATATATATATATATATATATATATATATATATTATTTTATCTCATTAATTTTTAAAATACTTATCGCTAAAAGCCAACAGAATAACGCTTAGACCTCCTCGCTGGCAGATCTTTCAATAAGTCTTTCGAAAGACAATAAAGAGCTTTCAAGAATTGTGTTAATGAGTGAATTGAGTACAGAGGAAGCAAACCCAATAATGCATTAAAAGTCACTCCCGTACTAATGTTGTTCTCTTGGCGTCCCTAATGCCTATAAATTGCCAATGTACCTTAACCGGTCTAGGAAAACTTGCTGCGCTTGATTAAGTTTTAACAAAATGTGAGTTGTCCACGTCAGCCGTTGCGTAGATAGGATTTGATTGGCGAATCGACTAAGCCCTCGCAGCAAATCGGTTCAAAGAATGTGCGAGCAAATTTCAGTTTCAATCAATATTTCTTCCATAACACATCCATTTCAATATGAGCACACACGGAATTTTTCTTCATTGTTGTTTTTATTTGGTAATCACAATAAATACATATTTCGTTGTACAGCCTTATTTTGTTGGCGATCGATGTCAGCCGCGGTAGCCATGATGATGATGATGATGACGTCCACCAAAGCCACCAGGGCCACCACCGAAACCTCCAGGACCGCCACCAAAACCACCGGGACCGCCACCATAACCACCAGGATAGCCACCGCCAAATTGCTGCTGCTGGTAAGGTCCATATCCGCCACCAACAGGTTGACCATAACCACCACCTCCAAATTGACCACCGGGATATTGATACAGATTTACATTAACTGCACTAGAACTGGTCGCTTGCGCATTTGCTTGGCTGATGGCACCACCATCGGCAGCGATAGCGACCACACAAAAACTTAACACAAAGAAGACACGCATTTCGACTCAAAGACGTTGAATATATAACTAAAGATGCAACGTCGGCGCCGAAAGCTTTTATAGCTCAACATGCAATGATGCAATGAAATTCAAATTGAAAAAAAGGAGTTTAATTGAAAATAAAATCAATTAAAGAATTAGCTAAAACGGCAGAATGCATGTGCTGTTGGTGAGATCAACAAAAATACGAGTTTACTTGGAAGCCAAAAAAAAATTCTGGCCTGCACACGGAGTCCGATTACAATGCGATATAGCTACGGTGACCATCCGTTCTGTTTTTTGCAGGACCGTACTGTTATTTAAAGGTCTGTCCTGCGTAGTTTTTCAAAACAGAAAACACCCAAAATGTTCTGATTTTTTCCAAGTGTCCTGCCTTTGTGCCGCATTTTCTTCGATATTTTAAAATTAACTTTTCCTAATCGAAATAAAAGCAGTGTAAGTGGGTTTTGAAGGTTCAACTAGTCAATGCGTTCTAAATATTGTATGGACAATGGGTGACGAGAAATTGAAGACCAGCATCAAATATATCGATAACACTGTTCTACAAATTTTGAGGTAATCGCTTAAGAAAAAAAAAAAAAATATATTTTTCAAGCCGATTTTCTTTTCAAACAAGCGTTTTCGTAATTTTTTCGAAAAAAGTGTTTTTGGTACATTTTGTTACATTTTTTAATATGTAATATGCCTTATTATAATTTTGTAAATATTCATTTATAAAAGATTAATACCAATGAAGCAAATGTGATTTATGTTTAAAGTTTAAAATTGGATTAATAATTAAGAAATATACCATCTTCGTTATTTGAATAGCGCATCCTTTTAATACTTAGTAGGAACAGTTTTCCTTTTGTTTGTTTAATATTCATTAACTTTTTATAAAAATATAGCATATTCTACCTCTACATCCCATTTAAAAAATTTTTGAAAAAAAAAAATAAAAATAAACATAGGGGCGACAATTTTTTTTTTGTTGACGGTGCTGCGTATTTTCTTACATATAAAAATTTTGTCAAGCATACTTTGTATGGTAAAAAATCAAAAAAGGGTACGCTATTCAAATGACGAGGAATGTGTATATGTAGTATATTTTTGTTATTTGTATACAACGCAATTATATGTAGGTAAATTTTTTAAAAAATTGTCCTGCATTTTCAAAATATATTTATGGTCACCGTAGATATAGCAATAATTCACAACAAAATAAAATAAAATAAAAAAAAAAATGATGTATATATCCAGTTGCATGAGAGGGATGCATACAAAACTGGCCAAATGGATTGACGCTGCTGTGCTCTTTTTTCTATTTACTAGCTATATACTCGTACATTTAATTATTCACCTAAAAGATGGTGCATACAAAATTATTAATTACGTCTGCTTAGAAAATTGAAAGTATATACAAAATCATTAGCGACTGAAAATATTTCGGTTACAAGAGCAACTCTAACTTTTTTCCGATTTAATTCGTTTTTTTTTTTTTTTGTAAGTCGTCTAACAGGTTGCCTTCCGTTCAATATTACTTTTCAGCTACCACTAGTACTTATGTACTTTCTTCTTTTTTAGACAATCAAAGAAGCAAATAGCACAAATAAAATTTTTGCATAAAATTAAATGTTTTGCACGTTTTAGAATTTTCGATTATCAAAAAAGCCAATTTAGAGCCAATTAAAAAATTACCATTAAAAGAGTCAATCATCCCAAAGGGTACTGAATACAAAACATTACGAAATCCCGTTCCTAAATGTACATATATACATACATAAGTACATAGAGTCAGTTCATTGTCTTGGCCTTCAAGTCGCTTTGATAAATGAAGGCAATTCGAAAAGACCTAATTGACGAGATATTTATTGAACAGGTCTCCCGAGTAAATAAAAAAAAAAAACGCAACACGACTACCGTAGAAAGTAGAGGTCGGAAACAATCTATAGCGCTATCGGCGCTCGATCGATGGTTTACATTATCCTTTTGACTATCGATAGTTTAAAGAAAGTGAAAAAGTGTCAGACAAAAATTTAAAAATCTACGCTCATTAAATTCGTATTAGCTTTTGGTATGTAACAAAAATGAGTGTACCTCAAGACTATATTGGGTTGAAAGTATGAAAAAATCGTCTTGAAATAGTTTTTGAGAATAGAATATAGATTGTGATGAACAGCGTATTTTATAGCTTACAGTGGATAATGTGAGTCCTGCGAAGGAATGTGCGCTTAAACATTTACATACATATATATGTATTTCAGCAAGTTCGATGTAGTCTGAGTAGATTTTCAACAAAGCCGGCATAATTATGATTGGAAGGCGATCTCATTTACCAAAGTTTCATAATAATGTTAATTATTTTCAAGGGATTATTGTCAGTATAAATTTTTAGTAAATTAGCGTCCTTAAATTTCGAAATATCGAAGTTTCAGCATTTCTGAAATTTACAATAAGTGGACCTTTTCTACTTTTTAACCGATTTCCAAAAGAGGAGGAGGTTATCAGTTCGTCGGAATATTTCTTTTCCCATGTATGTTAAAGCATAACTTTGGACCACGTCAACCGATTTCGATAATTCTTTTTGTATCGGAAAGGTAGTGTCTCATAGGTGGTCCCATACTAATCTGGTTTAGATCCGATCATTGGATCATGATATATATATATATTTTTTTTCAGTCGGTTTTTTTTTGCTAAAAAAAACTTGTTTTCTAAATCTTTTTTTTTTGCTAAAAGTTACTTGTTTAATTTTTCAAAGAATGAATGATACTGAGGCCAAATAATAAAATATATACTAAAGAAGCAGATTTTTGTAAAATTTCGCTTAAGCTGAAATATGATGCCGAAACCTCGACATGAGCAATTAAACGAGTTTATTCTTTATGAGCGCATAAATACATTTGGATGCAAACGCGTAACAGAAGCAGTTCGATTAAGTCGTATTAACATTACGATAAAAATATAAAATAAGTATTTAAAAAAATATTTTGTACTTACAAATTTTGCTAAGTATTTGGCCGAGCTTCTCTTACAATTTGTGTCGCAGTCTTGATATAGCCATCCAACAGGGGGTACCTACAGTTTGAGAAATTTATATGTCAGTGAATTCATTGGTTCTTTTGGATTTAAAAATTTCATACATGAATATTGACTATATTTGAAAATTTTGTAATTACTCAACCAAAATGTCGGATCAAAAATGGTAGACGTTATCTCCTAAATTGTTCGGATTTTCTCGAAACTATCCCGCGGTAGGTCATTGGATACCCTAAAGAAAGATAACCAACCATAATGCCATATTGCTTTTTTTTGTGTGCCGGTGTTATCGATTACGAAAATTTTTAATTTAAATATGCATCACAATTTTATGTTTTGAATATCTCTGAAGATAAATATTCTTATTCGATGAAAAGATACTTGCTATTGACGATTTTATAGCAACGAAAAAAATTAATATAACCCCTCAGAAATACATGGAAATGGGTCTCCTTATTTTCGATATTCTTTAATAGTGCCTGGTGGAAAAAATCGACCACCCGAATGTACATATAACGCCACAAAAAAGCAAACACGAGTTAATTTTTCTTCATGTCATTTTTTCAAAAACAGCCAATTATAATATTTCACTTTACAGAATTATATTTCTTCACTACTCCACAGCTATGTATATGTACATTCAGAAGGAAATGTATACCTATTTATGTATAAATTTTTTATTTATTTTTTTTTTTTTCAAAACAAAAAATCTACAATGTTTTAATAATAAATTTCATAAAAGAAGAAAAGCAAAAAAAATAAGCATAAAAGTTCACTCGTTATACTTCTTTTTTGTTAACGACTTTCTCGCAAGTCTGAAAGTTCTAAAACAAAACCACCAAACCTTTTTTTTTTGAATTCCTTTTCATCTGTTATGCCTTTTTTTGGTATTAATTAAACTTTGCATTGAACTTCCGTACAATTGAGTTGTAGTCAACGCTGTCAACATTATTATTAATGTTATCATCATCGTCAACTTTTCAATCATTATCGCAATTTCTCCAACGGAAGTCGTCTTTCTACACTTTCCGTCGTCGGTGTTGTGGCTTTGTGGCCAATAAGGATTGCATAAAAAACGGCCAGACAAACTTTTGCATAACTTTTTATGGCATTTCACTTCACTTATTGAAGGAAGCTGTGCAAGTCAAGTCTTTGGGTTGATTTCGTACGGACGGATTGAGGATGTTTTGAAAATGCCTTTGGTTTACAATAGCTGGCGGTTCAAAATTTGCCCACAACGAAGTCGTAAAATTTCTATGAAATACTTAAATAATTTTCTCTAATTATATTATGCAAAAATTACGGTGTTTGTTTGTCTGCTTGTGATTGGCAAACACATACATACATACATACTTGTAGAATAAAATGAAAAACTTCTGTTTCGCTGAAAGCATTTTCTAAGTGAATATGAACAGCAAAATAAACATTGAAATATAGTTTTGTGCGGGATGACTGGTACTATCAGTAGGTGTAATGCCCATATGGTACAGCATAGAACTCGAATTTTGTCTAAAAGGGCAGCATCTCGTTTTTTTTCGTATTAGCAACAGTCTTAAAGGATTGATTGGTTATATTAAAAGTCTCAGCGACTTTGCGGATGGATTTCCCAAATGTATTTATAATCACTCCTGCAGGTTTGGGCACTCGTAGAGAAAGTTGTCTACTGTCTAAGCCCGGTTCCTTGCAGCTTAAATGAGTATGACGGATTCCTGATATCTCGGGCAATTACCTACGATCCAGAGCTGCTTAGCTTTCGGCTGGTAAATTTCAGTAATTCTGCTTTTAACAGTCCTAGACTAGTTGCGAGAAAGGGTGCAGGTGTTTAACCACCTCTTTAATTGCAAACTTTTCCAGCTGAAAAGCCTTGCGTGGTCCGGTAGGTGAGAGGAAAGCTATTAATTGGTCCACACTCCATCTTTGATCCGTCTGTTAAAACGCCCAAGATCCCTTCCCAAATTTCTTTACTGCTGCTCGGGAATTTTGCC